TCAGTCTTGGTCCTCCTGGTCTAGGTCCTCCTGGTCTCAGTCTTGATCTCGGTCCTCTTGGTCTCGGTCCCCCTTGTCACATGCTTGGTCTCAGTCCTCCTGGTTTCAGTCTTGGTCTCAGTCCTCCTGGTCTCAGTCTTGGTCTCGGTCCTCCTGGTCTCAGTCTTGGTCTCGGTTCTCCTGGTCTCGGTCCCAGCCCTCCTGGTCTCAATCTTGGTCTCAGTCCTCCTGGTCTCAGTCCTGGTCTCGGTCCTCTTGGTCTCAGTGTTGGTCTCTGTCCTTCTGGTCTCGTTCTTGGTCTCAGTCCTTGTGGTCTCAGACTCTCATGTCTCGACTACAACACTGGTGAACACAATAACTTGAGAAATACCTATGTATGAACTTCAAATATGACTTTTAATAGTTAAGCCTGAAAGGTCAAAGGTAAAGGTCACAATGGCTAAAACACTTAAGATAAATCTTTTGTGTTCAAACAATTAAAGTTATGGGTTTAAGCGTGGGCTTGGCAGGGTAATTGTGTTTGTAAACACTTTATTCTTGTAAATAGTTGATTTTCATAATTGTACTTTACATCATCTAAAGCAAAGCGTTATGATCATTTTGCTTTTTGATTAATTTTTTATTTCACAGTAATGATAATAACAATAGTAATAATAAGTATTAATTGGTGCAAATCCATTACATTACGTGTTTTTTTGTTGAAAGTGTTGTGTGTATTGCCCCTTGTTTGTTTTTCATCGTTATTTTATTTTAATCATTTAAAATCAATTTACTCTCAGCTTGACAAGAACACAAGCCATTATCTCTTTTACCAATTTTGAACAAATAAGAGTTAACTGCCAAGATTCTGTAAGTCTATATTGAAACTATTGCAATTTAGTATCACATGTTAACTGAAAAGGCAAACTGCATCGATCCAACCATTCAGTAACAGGAAGATTACAAGCTAGCTTCATTTCCCATCTATCAATAAACCTACGGATAACCTTCAATGCAGAGGTAAGAAAAGGATACAGACAAGTAGAGCCCTTTTTAACCAGCGTAAACTGCAAATTAAAAGGAATTAGAGTAAAACTATTCAGCAGTCTACGGATTAACGTACACTTAAGAGCTTCAATGAATAAACTTAAATCGACCATCTTGACACCACCATGTTTATAATCTTGAATCATGTGATTCCTAGCAACTCTGTAGACCCCCCTCCATATAAATTTGTACAGCATAGCATTTAAATTCCTAATATTTTGGGGCAGATCTAGAAGAACCAAAAATCATAAAAAGCAAATTTGGATAGGATTTAACAAGTGATTTAACTGTGACTCTACCAAGAACCTTTAAATTTCTCTGAGACCATTGATCTATTAAGGTAGCAGTGGCTTCAAGCACTCTGCTATAATTTATGATAGTCATAAAGAATGAAAGTAAAATCAATGCTCAGGGTTTTAAAACTATCCTCTGGACCAACCCAATGAACATTAATATGCTCACAGAGGTGTTTTTGATGTCCCTTATTACCACCAATCCACACAGCATAAGTTTTGTCAATGTTCACTCTGAGACCAGGAGCATTACCAAAGTCACCCAAAATCTGAAAAGCTCTCTTAAAAGACTGCTCTGTACCATCCAAGAAGAATACTGTATCATCAGCGTACCGCAAAATCCTGTACTCATTATCCTCTACTGATGGCCTTAGGAATGTTGTCATTATGAACAAGCATACCAATTATTTCAGCACATAGAAGAAACAAAAATGGGCTCAAACCGTCACCTTGACGACAACCGCATTCTATCTTAAACAATTCTGATAAAAACCCATTTACTCATACTGAGGCAGTTGCACCACTGTAAAGAACTTTAAATCAGTCCTGAATAGAGGGTCCTAAATTAAAGAGATCCAAGACTTCACAAAGAAATTCATGTGAGACTGAATCAAATGCTTTCTCAAAATCAGTTAACCCCAAAACACCAGGAACATTATTGTTCTCTGTATAATTAAGCAAATCATACATCACGTGAATATTTTCCTCAATGTAGCATCCCTGCAAAAAACCTTTTTGATTTTCAGGGATAATTGTGGAAAGGCAAGTTTTGAGTGTCTCTGAAATACAACCAGAAGCTAATTTATACAAAGGATTCAATAACAAAATTGGCCTCCAGTTCTTTAAATACTTGCTGCTGGGTGGTTTGAAAAATGCAGTGCACATATACTGGAGATTTTCAAAATTTTCAGTTTTCCAAATTCTTCAAAAACTAATCATTTCATTTAATGGACAGTACACCCACACAAATTACTGTCTGGTGGCCACTCTAGCCTGACAGACAAAATCTATTTACGCCCGAGTATTTCAGCCAGGCCTGCAGCCTTGTAAAAAGCGCCCAGGTTGTGCAGTGTTATGTAACTTTCTTTTGTTAATGAACCTGATGCAGTGCGCTGC